TATATTAAATATAGATTAGCATTATATATCTGTATATAGTAAAAGGAACAATTAAATTTAAAATGTATGTGTAAACTTGACACTATTTATGCATAGTTTATTTAGATAGAGAATATCATCAATCTCGCATCTGAAAAAAAGAAAAACGAATGAACAATTGGAAGAATTGCGAATAAAAATATCAAAAACATTGCTAACACATGCACGAGATTCATGTGTTATAATGTCGCCAATACATAAATTTGCATATCTTTAACCTCTTTTTGTGAGTAGCGATATGCATTGCGTATCTTTAGTAACAACTTTGTGTTAAAGGATTTTCATTTTTTGTAGTATGCATGTGTGTGAGTATATGAGCGTGGAATGGTTGCATACATATATGTGTATGCATGAACGTGACAACAATGAATAAAAGGTGAGCGATTTATATAGGTCGATGTGCTTGAATTATTCGCGATTCGCAAAGCATCCAGAAAGATCATCACTTTTCTTAGTTAAATTTACTGAGTTGCTAAAAAATCGTTCGTTGAGTAAATTCAGTAATAAATGAAGTTAATCTTCTATTTAATAAATCGAAATGTAATAATAAATGTAACGTAACGTCTATATATTATTAAATTAATCCAATTTACTACTAATGTGTATTAAATATTTCGATTCGTCATATTTTATTCGATAAATCAATTGGAAATGCAAATATCATTCACTTTTATCGTGTGGAAATTAAATCGATATTTAATTTTTTATCCTATTTAAATTTCTCACATTGTTACATCTTTTATAACTTTATAATGAAACATCGATGACATTAGATTCATTCAATATTTTTATCTTATTTTTATGAACAGAACAAATTGATAAATTTCGAAAAATTTATGGAATATCCTTTATAAAGATATAACAAAATGGTAGCTTAACGGAAACGTCAACGATGCAAAGTGCCAGAGGAAATCTCAATTATCGTATAACTTTGTTATCGCTCTGTTGGAAAAACCGCGCTTCCGCGATTGTTGCCCTCAAAGGCACTCCATTTTTACGGGAATAATGAAAATTTATGGAAATCTTTTTATAGCGCGCTGTCAGTTAATTTAGTTGACATTTCGTGTCAAATCAGAGTGTCTATTTCGATAATATATTGAAATCGATGATCAGAGGTAACTGATTCAAATTCTAACAATATCGTATTTAATTATATTTCACACGAAATGCGTCCGAAATTGTTTATTAAAAATATATTGATATAATGTCTTTATTAAATATAATAAATATGAATTTATTATAGTATTAAAATCTATTTACCTATACGGAAAAATCTCATTGAGAGATAGCTCTTATATCATGTACATAATATATGAGACATCCATCATGTCGCTACTACAACTTCCATAGCTCAAGAATTGCAATGTATCGATTCAAATGAACACAACTTCGTGCATTTCCCATGACACAAAAATTGTTTTTTTTCTCCATCATTTAATGACCTCATATGACAAACAAATATGGATTATTGAATAAAATTTTTTATTCAAACATACGAGATCGTTTACAGAAGACTTTAAAATATTTGAAATTCTCTAACCTCAAAAATATATCATTGATTAGATCCAATGATATAACAATGGCACAATATTAATAAATAAAATTTTATCACGTACCTAAAAATAATTGAGAATATTCCAACTGAACAAACTTACTGTGATGTATAATATAGCGCAATTTTAATGAAAGAATTATTCAAGTTTCCGGCATCTTAAGAAAAGTAATAACCTCTTTAGTCCTGACCCAGACTCTCGAGTCATTTATCCATGATATCCACCACGCTATTCATTCGGGTAGACAAAACTTCTTAAACTTCACGCCAAACCTCTCAGCATCTGATTTGTATTCTAGCCTAGTTTGCATACATTCCAATGCGCGTATATTATACACCCAACGGTATTGTCGGTAAAGTTGTTACTACTTTAACGAAGTATCTGCGAAAGGGGTACACTTCGGAAACACTGTCGTTTAAGCTCTTGAGAGTTCGTTTGGATCGTATATAAATTATGGAACAAGTTGTGGAAAAAGTAGGAAGATTTCTGTATATAAACAAATCCGAAATATACAAGCTTGAATACGCAAAATAAAACGAAAATAAAACGTAGGTATTTATATAAACATAAGTATATATGTAAGCAAATAGATTTTAGGTTAAATATGAAACATATAAGACATGATATATCTTGATATGAGATATTATATTTTTATAAAAAAGTGTTGCAATGTTGTGATAATAGAATTAATAGAATAAATGACAATATCGTTCACATGAGATTTATGTGAATACGATTGTTTCATTAATATGCTATTGATTGCTATTATTTTTTCTCGTTTTTATATCTATGTGAATTTTTATTTTCTTATTTGCAAAAGAAGATTTATATAACATTAAAAATAAGTTATTTGATCACTTTCTTTATTAGCTTCGAACTAATTCTATTATCATTTAAATGAAAGATTAATAAATTATTTTTAAATTAACTTAACCTCTCTTTTCAAATCTAGGATATTTCTAATATTAAATCTTATGTTTTTTTTATTTATAGGACATAATATATATGTAACATATATATGTATATATGTAAATAGAATATTTATATTGAAATTAATAATTAATATTCTTAATAATAAAACTCAAAATAGAAATTAGAATGTCTATTTTATTCGTGTCTCTATTTTAAAAAACAAACAATGGATAATTGGTTGAATGTATTACAAATGACCCATGAATATGATGTTTCTTTTATTTGTTCAAATTGTTGAAAAGAAAACAGAAAATTAAACGACTTTTTAGTTTTAAATAACAATTTTAATTTTAATCTTAATTTTAAGCAAGATTTCATATCAAAAGCATCTTTTTATAACCATTGATTTTGTACTTCTTATATTTTTCAATGAATAAAATATTCATAAAAATAATCTTTTTTTAATTATGCATAAATGATAAACGTAAAAATATAAAAATTTGTATCTTTTTCGCTTTCTATACTCGATATTTAATCAAATATACCATCAGTCTATATCTCATATAATTCGTATTCATATAATTCGCGTTTCGTTCAAATGCAAATTTTTTTAACATATTCCATATGGAGGAGGGATGTCATTTATCAAGCGTAATACACTACTATTTGTAAAAGTAAATAAAGAAAAATGGGAAGAAAATGTAGGTAAAAAGCACACAACAGCTGAATGTGATTTTCGTTGAAAGTACCCGACAACACAGATACGTAAAATGGACGCTAAAAGGTTCTTTTTAGATTCATTTTAACAGCAAGGGGTTAAAAGTAGCATGGAGAGGGGAATGGGCGGGGTTGAAGTGCTTTCCGCTATTAGTACGAGAGCGATTAGCGATCGGGACGTGAGAACGGAACATCTGATTGCTGGACGTCGGGCTTAACGTCGAAATGGTTTAATCCTACGTATATCTTACCAACTACTGCACCCTGCTTCACGTATCAACGTTATCCTAGCAGCGGATACGATGCACGCGGCAAAAAGGCGCGTTTTAAACGGGACCGAGCATGTCTCTAAATATTGAACGAAGCGGAAATTAACGAAATGTTGAAAAAAATGTCATGTAGAACACAACGATACTTAAATTCTCTGAATTATATAATCTTGATACCATAATGAAACATGAAGATGTCAACAAGAATATGATAAACAGAATATGGCGTAATCGTTCTAAGATATGTAAATGATATTGAACAAATAAAAAAAAATATATGTATTTATGCTATTCACATTATATTATTTATTGTGTTAGTAGTTTCGTATTTTATATTATGGATTTTCAGGAATGTTTGATTTAGGAAGGATACTAAATTCAAATTTCAATTTATTTTATATCGAAAATTTAATCTTAAATCAAACTTGCATTGAGTAAAAAGTTAAATTTATTATGGTTAGTTCTAACGTACAAGAGGAAGTAATTTTAGAATTGCATTTTCCGTTAAAAAGATGAACGGCTTGAAATGTAAAGCTTTTGAATGGTATGCTTCTTTGATCGATTGAATATACAAAGCAGGATCTTATCAAAGCATACTGATTAAGGAGAAACTAGCTCGCTAACCCAAGAATCTGTTACGGTTATTCTGCTACACATCCATTTATTAATCCTGAGAATAAAATTATACAAATCACTGTCAAAAAAATCAAACTCTAGATTCTAATTTTAATTCTTTCCTAATTTATATAATCAATAATTAACGACAAATACAAATTTATTAAATAATTGAAGAGTGTAAAGAAGTATGTCACAATAGTATGCTATCTTTTGCATTGCAAAAATTTTATAATTGGAAGATCAACAATCGATAACAAAAGAAAGCAAGCAAGAGAAACATATCAAAGATTTTATTATAATCCAGTGAAATTAATTGCAGTATAAATAGAATATAGAATTCTATGGCAAACAGAAATGAAATCCCACTAAATCACTAGAACGAAACACATTCAAGGACAACACAAACACCGTTTTCGAGGTTAAGTTATATAACAAAACTATAACCGCCATGTTACATACATGGTTGATTATAATCATGGTTGCCAACCGTATCATAGGAAACAGTTTAATAATATTAACTTTTGCATGAAAGTAACGATACCAAGTGTAATAATTCTCTCGTTGAAAGTTACAAGCCCAAGCTTACGACTAACGCATTTCCTATGAAATTTATGACATTGTGCGAGCAGAACAGGTGGATTGTAATGACAGATCGATATGCATCTCAACTAAATCCAATCTGTTTCAGCATCAGTTTCCTCCGGCGCTTCAATTTCGATTCGCTCTAAACATTAGCCGTGCTTGCATTGGCACATGTAAAGCGGCCTCTGGTGGTCGTGTGCACGAAACCTCGGCATATACGAACCACTGTGTGCCGACTTGTTTGCCTTCGAGCATAAACAACCGGGACACGTGTATGCATGTAGGTATATACTATTTGCATTCGTGAACTTGGACGCCGGATTAAGGAGTCACGCTTTCAGTTTTCTCCTGGTAATTCTCGTGCTGTGCCGTTAAATTTGCATTGTGTCTACGAGAATATTCTACGAGAATATTTTCCCGTCTACAAGAAAATTCTTATCTGTGTTCGATGTGCTTTTGATTGTGTTATCTTCGAAGTTTCATACGGAATCTGATGAAAACTTACATAAAACACGGAGTATGAGTGAGTATATAATTTTTATTTATCATTAAATAGAAAATATTTTGTTATAATAATTTTAAGTTTTTTCTAAATAATAATTAATCATCTTTAATATAAAATTAAAAATTTGAATAAATTTGTTATTTTATCTGATCATTAATTTAGTAAATAGAATATAAACGACATAGAATGTGAACGAGCTAATCTATATACATTTATTGCAAACTCTAACCTTTTTTGGCGAATAGTTTTCCAAAAAAGAATTCACATATAATTAATGATAAAGAATTCTGTGATCAAACAGTAGTTATTTGATTTTTTATGATTTTATAATATTGTAGTAGATAAATATAAAATATTTTAAATTATATTATTAAATTATATTATCATATGCAAAGATAATAGGTATGCAAGAAAATAGGTTATAATAAAAAAGGTTATACATATTATCGATAGAATAGAAAGAAAGGAATAATATTTGGCATCAATTCTATGTGCAAGTTCAATATTTTGATTTGTGTAAATTTTATATTTCAAGGCACAATTTTCGCTGTGCATTGGACTAGGATTTTATATTTTCGATCGTTTTGACGGTACTGTTTCCAAATCTCCACGATTTTCGTTGACCGTATTTTTGTTACATTTTCCTCTCTATTGATCTCGAATGTTGTGATTTGAAATGCTCTTGATTCTTTTATGTTCGTTGCAGTTTTCAAATGTTTCATTTCAATACAAAATTAATCATCTGTGTCAATTTGAAAAATCTTATATTCTTCGTAATTATATTTTTACGAATTTTTACGAATCATTCGATTTAAATTTTTCGATTTTTTAGTTTCTAAACGAATCTCTTCAATCATTAAACTAATTCTGATAATTCTTTTTTTTATTATCTTTTTTTTAATTTAAAAATGAAATTTCCATTAATCTTTAACTCTATATTCCTGTATTTCTTCGATTTCCATTAACATTGAATATCGAGATTCGCATTTTCGATTTTCGTACTGTACACTCTGTTTTCACTGTCTCTCGATTCATATCGATACAGAATTCTACGTACACTGTTCCGATGTTTGACTTATCTACGTCTCGATAGCTAGGTAACCGAAACTCAAACCACGATGATTTGTCACATAGATATGACATTGGCGATTAATTACAATTAATCACTGGGATAGGTTATGTTTCGAGAGATACTCGAAGCCCGAATTAGCCGGGATGTAGTTGGTTCAACGCGCAAAAGCATGTATACCTAACCCTTGTTAACGCGTGTAATCAAACGTATATCTCTGATTCATAACTCTTCAATCATGTGTTAAATTCATATTTGTATCGATAAATCTTATTACAATTTTATTTTTTTAGTTCTTTTAATTGCAATCATCATTATATTATCTATATTAGCTTCCAATATAATATCTATAAATAGTACACGAAAATCATATATTTGTGTCATATATCTTTTTATTTAAAATTTATCTCGTACAAAATTTTCGTACATTTACGTACAAAATATTCTATGTTAATTCATGTGTATTGCATTTAACAATGCAAACTTTCACGAAAACAAAATTCAATTATGCGAATAGTTCATTACCCGGTAAAATTATATCTTACAATGTTGCGATTCTACGAGTGTCTGTGAGCCCTGAACTTCTATATCATTTCGCTCATGTTAACATGGTTTTTGGTGTTCGTTCGTTCTTTGTAATGGAAATTCGCAGAGAATATTATTTTACGCGTATATGTATATATGTATATATATGTGTATGTGTATGTGTATACCTGTGTAAAATCAGTTGCGATAAAATTATTCGCCATGACATAGTTGCATAAGTAACTTTATCAAACTCGTATATCGTTCTGCCCATATTATCATTTACAATATTCATTGTTTGTAATAGAAAGTTTTGAGGATCATTTTTCTCTCTTCTTCTCTCTTTCCTTCTTATCATCTTTTCACTTGAAAAACAATTTTCTTCTTTCTCTTTTTATTTTTGTCTAGTATGAAAAAGGGTATTTTTTTTTTCTGCGGGTAAAAACAAAAAGAAAAGAAGGGGAAAAAATATAAATACGGAAAATTTGATATGAAATTCACGGTAGATTGAATTTCGAAATATCGATAAATGGCGGAATGGCAATCACGAGAAATGGCGTGCCAGTCAACGTGTTAATCAGATTTGATAAAATTGTTATACAGTTTTTATTCGAATTCCGTGTGAATTTCCAAAGAAAAAACATTGTGTGTCCAATGAGATCGGCCGGAAATTTCGATTTAAACTTTAATAAAGTTTTGTTTTGTTTAACGGTGAAAAGAAAACATCAATCCAGTTAGAGTATTTAATTATCCGATTCTCGATTAAAATGAAATATAACGTTTGAATCCTTATTGATAAAAAGAGAAGAAAATTATTAAAGAAGAAGCGAAAAAGAAAAAGTTAAAAAAAAAAAGAAAAAAAATGACAAAATATTTTATTTATTTATTTAATGAAATTTGTAATGGAACGAAATATTAATCCATAAATCTTTCGTACTCGTACTTAATAATATCCTTGCTCGCGTTATTGCACTTTGATGATATCATATTTTAACGGAATATGATTTCTTTGTAGCAGATGATTGAACATGTTTCTATAGGAGGAATGACGTACGAAGAAAATTACGTCGGGAAGGAATGCATGAATATCGTATCTGAAGAATCATGCGTACGCTTTTCTAGTTCGGTGCACAATTGAACCGAATAAAACTCAAGGAAAAATCTGGAAAAACTGGAGAATGCAGCTTCATAACAAAGGTCTTTTGTGCAATGAACGTTATTCCTCCATTGAATGCTATTACAGACTGCATACGGCTTTACAATTCTACTTCTTGCGCGCATTCGCAAATTTTCACCACTTTTGAATGCAATTACTTCCTCTCTTTTCACTTCCTTTTTTTTCTTTTTTTCTCTTTTTTTTCACTCTTTTGATACTCATCTCAATCATTTAAAGAAATAATTCGATTATATTCGTCGATGAATCTAAAAAAATAATCATAATTAACGTCTGTATATCTAATCCAAAAATTTTAAATCTTTTATAACATCACTTTAAACTTGTATACTATATACTTTATTTCTTATATCATTTGTTGAGTACTCAAAATTAGTTTCAAAACTATAAATTTTTCTTAGATACAAAAATAAATTGGATTATAAAGGGTTAATGTAAAGGTTTATGTAAAACGCGATAAAACGAATAATAATTACAAAGTTTCGCATTTTAATTCTTATAGCATAATTATATTTTTACAACAATATTTTTACTTTCGGTGAGCCAAATTTATGCGATGCTCATTTTTCAAAAATATTCCACGAAGAAAAAAAAAACTCTGTATTTTCCTTGCATTATACACGCGTATTACGACTATTTTCTGGAATCGTAAAAACTTTTCGCGAATCGTAAAAAAGCATGACTCCATGGACGTTTTCCATGAGTTCCAACGTGAAACGGAAGTCGAACAGTCGAAACGCGGGAAGATCACGCGATACGAAAATAACGCCGTTCCGTAATACGTGCAATTAATAAAGATATTAATTAAATCATCCCCACTCCCCCTCGTCGGATAGATCCGACATTTACAACGGTATTTATCCTGGTACGGAACCGTGAAATAAATGTTGCTCGCGCTACATGCGATGTTAGTTACGGAATTCGGGTCGTTCTCCAATGGCGAAAGACCTCGGCTAACGTTTAACGAATGTTCCCACGTGTAATCCGATTTACTTTTACTTATCACGCCGTTCAAACACTTGGAAATATTTGCATCGCAGCCTAGATGGGACGCCTAGGTGAACTTCACGCGGGGAGGGGAATTTTGGCGTTTCGACGTTGCAGAAATGTTTTCTGCTAATTTATCGTTTCACGGTGCCAAGAACAACGCGAATTATTCGACGCGTTAACTGTACATAGTCGATTTTCCACCGACGAGTTTCGACCAAATGGTCCGTGTTTCCCAATTTTCCCTTTCTTTTTTTTTTTTTTTTGAACTACTACCATCTTTTTTTGCGATAATCGAACCGTAGATTTTTCGTGATTCTTTCGTGGTTATTAGACGAGGTATTTGCATTTATTTTATTTCAAATTTAAATGTACGAAGGTATGCAGAAATATGTAAAGTATAGCAAGATGAATATGTAAAGCGAGTTTAATCATCATTTATATATAAAATCATATTTTTGTATAAATATTCGTAATTACATAAGAATATATTTTTATCGGTGAAATAAAGTATATATTTTATTTTTAAAAAAGAGATAGTGGAAAATCTGCAATTATCGCGATTTTCGCATATGTTGTCAAGAATATTTTTTCAGGGGATAAACTCCAAGGGATTTTAATTTTTTCTTATTGTTTTTAAAAATAACGAAGAAGAATTATTTTTATAATAGAGTTGGCATACGTTTGGAATATTTGATCATTTAATGAAAAATATGTTTGAAACTTCAACATGTGGACGAAAGAAGGATTAAAATCTCTCGAGGGATTATCTCCGAGAAGGATATTCTCGACGGCATATATCAAGATCAAGATCATCGGAGCGTCTACCTTCCCCAAAATTAATGTTTACCTAAAAACTTGCTTCCGCAAATATAAAATATTTAATATGAATGATCATCCAACGAATATTTTTTTTTTTTTTAAGATCCGTCGCGATAGATCATAAATCACTTTTATCTTTTGCCTAACATTTACTTGAAAACAAATATAAAATATTTAATATAAATGATCGTACGACGTATCTTTAATATTTTTTTTTCATTCCTATTTATAGGATATTTTTTACCTAATATTGAATAATATTTACCTAAGTCCTAGTAAATACGAAATATTTAATATGAAGCGTCATATATTCAAATACTTTCCCATTGTAATCAATTATTTCTGCTTATTATTATATATCCACGTAACCGTATTGAAAATAAAAAAAAAAAGAAAGAAAATTTTTATTGCAAAATTTCTCATAATTAAATAAAACGGTAA